TGGGACAACCATCCACCCCCAAAACACTCCTGATTCCCTGTTCACACAGTTGGCAACTTTCTAATCGGGTTTCCAGATCCTGCAAGATCCGAAAGGTCCGAGAGGCCAACAGCGGGCCTTGGGGTCTCCTGCCCCACCCCACCAAGCTGAGACAGGCCATGGTGGCTAAAGGCCCCGGGAAAGACTGAGACCCCCTCCCAAGGGGAAGAGACACAGGGCTCGGGGACAGGCCCAGCAAGGGAGGGCCCAACGTCTGTTAAAATGAACGGGTCCTGCCCTCTCCCGCCAGCTCTGCCCAAGTCAGTGAGTCGGCCTGACAGCCCCCAGTCCACCCCAGGAGCCCGGGATCTGTCTCCCTCGCCTGACATGGTACTACCCAGGGGACATGCAGGCCTGGAGGGTGGCCTGGCTCCCAGCCCACCTGAGGAATTGACTGAAGGCCTTATAGTTGGTCAGCGTGTGGTAGTCCTCCTCTGAGAACAGGTAGTCCACGTCATCCAGGCCCCACTCAGCCATGAGCTGCCCCGAAGACTTGGGTTCCTACAAAGACACAGGCCAGAGGTGGACTCAGAGGTGGGGACCCTTCTGATCTGCACCCCCATCCCCAGGGGTTCCTGCCCAGGAGGCCTCAGAATAGAAGGGAGGGGAGAGGTGGTGTCTGCAATTTCACAAGAGCAGTTCCCACCCACCTCTGAAAACATCCTAAGGCGTCCCAGCCCTGGCAGCCCTGCTCAGTGGGAACAGCTCAGATGCCAGCTCGTGGTGGGGGTGGGGGAGTGGGGGGGAAGTCATGTGTGTGCCCAGAACTTCCAGAAAGGGAAACCAGCCAGTTGTGGGAGATGAGGCCAAACCCCAGGCCCAGGGCTCCCTCTTGAGAGGGCAGAATAAGGGGACTCACGCTCTGAGAAATATCTTCTGGGAATTTGGGAATTTGGGCAGAGGGACTATAAAATGGCCTGAAGATGGTTTTAGAAGGGAAGTGTCTCCAGGGAGGAAGCAGGGCTTAGGGGCTGCCTAGGCACGTTGTAGAGAAATGAGGCCTCTCCAGGATGCCCCAGGCACAGTCATGCATGGCCCCTATGAAAGGACAGACCACTGCTGGGTCCTAGGGACAAGAAGGTGCCCCTGACCTGGGCAGGAGCATGGTACAATGGCCCAGCTGGGGGCAGAGCCCTGAGAGGGTCCCTAGACTACTGCTTCACTTTCCAAATGGAGCACTGAGACCCAGTAGGTGTGTGACATCCCAGGGGCACCCAGTGAGCTCTCAAGAGAGCCAGCCCAGGAGTCAGATGACCAGATGACCGAACAGCCCCAGGATGGCTGGGGTCAGACCGGGAGGTGCTGGCTATGGGCTTGGGCTGGTTCTGCCAAATACCAGTGGTGAGAAGTAGACAAGTTACCCAACCTCTCTGCCTCAGTTTCCCCATCTCTAAAATGGGGATAATAGCAGCAGTATCTGCCTCCCATTAGAGAATGAGTTAGCATAGGTGCTGGGTACAGGGTGTGTCAATATGTGTCCGCAGCTGCTGACACCCAACCCACCCCACCTTCCTCTTTCCCCCCACACCACACTTCTGTCAGGCAGCCCTGAGCTGCCCCGGCCCCGCCCACTGATCCATTAAGCTAATCAGCACACACCACTCCTAGGCCAAAGTCCCGTCAGGGTGGTCCTGTGACTTAGGCCAGTCCACTCAGGGGAAGCGCTGGGTCTGCTGCTCAGACCCCTGAGCACCCCAAGCTGCTGCCGCTGCTGCACCCGTTCAGCCACAAGGGTGCCTGGCCTGAGCCTGGAGCTGACGCCGCAGAGGCGGAGCGAGAGATGCAAAGAAGCAACCCCTGATGACACCACTGTGCCCCACAACCCAGAAGCCCCCGATGACACCACTGTGCCCCACAACCCAGAGGCCACCGATGACACCACTGGGCACCACAACCTAGAGGCCCCCTTGACGCATAATTCTCAGGGACTTGATCCCACAAACCCCTTTACTGCCTAAGCCCCTTGGAGCTGGGCTTTCTCCACCCACAACAGAAAGCCGCCCAGGTAGTACACGGTCTCCCTTGGCCCCTGAAGCCCCCCTAAGCTGAGAAACAAGCCTGCCTGACCAGCCCAGCAGGAGGGCCCAGGAACCTGGCTCTCAACTCCTGTCTGTGACAGTCCAGAGATGTTCCCATGTGGCACCCCCGTGGTGGCCAACCCGCCCCCATGGACACACAGAGCCATTCCTGAAGGCACATGGGCCCCATGGCCCCAACTCGGGAACACAGAGCAGAACACGTGAGCGATGGATGATATTGTTACAGGATAGCCCTGAATTGCTCCTTAAACTCATCTTTCAAAACCATCAGCCCCTCAGCTATTATCAGTCACAGATGACTCATAACATCACCCTGGGTGTCACGACACCGCCTGTAAGAATGGCTCTTCTGAGCTACCTAACTTTAGTCATTCATGTTCAGGATTCCTGCCTCACCCAACAGCAACTGTACTAATATTTACGGAGCGTTTATCTTAAAACCCACGGCTAGCCCAAACTGAGCCTTGGTGCCTTATGAAAGAACAAAGGCAGCCAACTGTCCCCAACTGCCTCCTGTCACCCGCCCGCTGTGTGAGAGCTGAGGCCCACAACCCGCTCTCTGGCCTCACCCGGGGCCCCTTCCCCACCCCCCAGCACCCCCATGGTACAGCCTCTGAGACTAGAGGGGCCTTAGGATGACCCCACAGCCTTGGCTCAGTTCACGTCATTTCCCATGTCCATGGGGAAGACGTGTGTCCCCAGGGGGAGCTGCAGGCCCATCTCCACAGCTTCTCTGCTCCACGTGCAGCAGGCACCTCGGAGCGCCCCCCAGGCAGAACCTCAGAACACGCACTGAGTCACAAAGCCCCCTTTCCACCGTCAGCGGAGGAGCTGTCCAGCCGCCTCTGTGGCAAAGACTCCATTTGTTGTTTTATTTTCCCAAATCGCTGCAAGCACGAGGTTCCTGACACTCAACTTGAGCTCCCACTATCTATCACCCTCCCTAGAAACAGCTGCACACTCGTGCGGGTGAGCTGTTGCCAGGGGCGGCAATCCGTCAGCAGGACGCTGCGCGACACGAGCTCCTAAACTTCGTCCACCATTATTTCAATATGTCTCCGAGACTTCTGGCTCCAGTAGGACTCATAGATCTTGCTTGACGTCCACGTGCGTGGGTGCACACATGCGGCCCCATCTGCCCGCCGGATGGGAAAGGACGCCCTGGCCCCGCGACTCGGGCGAGGCGCGACCCCCAGCACGGGCGCGGCTCCGTCCCGGTACCTTTAAGCTTCCGTCCTCGTTCTCCTCCTCCTCGTCGTCCTTCTTTTTGCGCTTGGCTTTTTTCTCCTTCTTGTCCTTGAGTTTTTTCTTCTTCTTTTTATTAGGGGAGTAGTCGCTCCCTTCACTCTCCGACTTCTCTTCCAGATCCTCTTCGTTTTCTGACAGCTCATCATTGCTCCCCTGAAAAAGAAAGGGAGGCGGTGAGGGCAATGGGGGGATACAGCCCCGAGAGCGGGCAACCTCCTGGCCCACACCGCGGATCGGTCACTCCCATTCCTCATCAATGTCCCCCTGCTCACAGCCCGAGGAGCCACCCAGAGCCAGTCCCGGTCAAGGATCTTGTCCCCAGTGACAGGGCAGTAGGAGTGGTGGAGGGTGCAGGGAAGGCCTCTTGCGAAGGTGGACTTCCCCGCCAGGGCGCTGCGTGCAGCCCGCTCACATGGCCCTCGGAGCGAGCACAGGCGCTGCTTCAATCATAGTCAGATTTCTATGGACTT